CAGAGTCAGTTTTCAAGTCACAACAACCAAAAACATTCTTAAATGTTACATGAAAATTGTAACACTGGGGCAGGGAAGAATATTATTAGTGGGCTCACTAAGTTCTATGCTCCCATTGACTCTGTTATTGTTAGCTCTTTCCCGACTGAATCTTCCCTTGAAGGAAGTGGTGGGGCCATCACTGAGGTCACTAGCAATGAGTGGCAGCATTGACAGACCCCTTAGGAGTGTCTGCCCCTCACACCACTCTAATAGGCACCGGAGGGACTCCTGCTTTCGGCAGTGTATCAAAACTGAAGAGTAAGAGCTCCACAGACATTGTGCGTGGTGAATACTTTTACTTGGGTCTCTCTCTCCTTAAGCCAAGGGTCAGTTTGAAGATTGCATTAGGTCAGTACTGCCTAACCTTTCAGAGCTTTCAGTGATGGCACCCCAGTGTAGTGTGCCATAGGTTGGCCACCAAGGTTTTGCTCTTGGGAACTTCTTTTTTTTTGGTTTTTTTCTCCGGTACCGGGAACCGAACTCACGACCTTGCGCATGCCAGGCAGGCGCTTTTGCCGCTGAGCTAAATCCCCAGCCCCGCTCTTGGGAACTTCTAAAGAAGGAATAACAGAGATATCACCAGCAGCCTCTGTACAACATAGAGCACCCAGCAATCGGGGCTTCATCCCCACGTTCTAATATTTTTCGTTTTCCCTACCTGTGTTCTGGCCAAATTAGGAGGGCTAAACCACTGAAAAATGTTTCCTTTACCTTTCTTTACTCACCTACCACCTGCCTAACCTATACTTCTCTCCACACTTCAAAGAAAGTATTTTTGAAAACACAATGCACCTGCCTAAGTGAATAACAAATTAAACATTGCCAGTGCAGTGAAAAGAAATGAAAATCTCAAGTGAGCTACAAAGAGGATGGTTTTAACCAGTTAACAATACTTAAGGTGGACAGATCTTGAGAGGTGTGTTATGGAGAGAGGGCCTGCAGTGCAAAAGGAAGCCCTCAGGAAGCGTTGGATAACCCATAACAAGTGACCAGTTTAACAGGGTCACGGCTGATGGCATGGGGGTGCGGTGAAAATTCGTAAGTGATAAGGTCCTGAAATCCTGGGGCTCAGATGAAGTAAACTATGATGCATATCAGTAATGATCTTGCATAAAGGATTGTAATAAGCTGAATTGTACTTTCTGGGGAGCCTGAAGCTAGCTTTCTCTTAAGCATAAACCTGTGCCTGTTGCCTGGAGCATGGTCAGGCCTTTTGCCTCTGTGGGGCTGATCTGAGTCAGTCAGAGGACGGCTTTGGGCTGTCCGTGGGGTTGGACTTGGCCTGCCCTCCACCCTGCCCTCTCCACACCACAGAGCACTGGCACCACGTAAATTCACGCCAATCCCAGCAAAACAAGACCCCTTTCACCCTCCAGCTATAAAGTGAGAGAAACGTGATCCCTGCCAGGTAGCATCTTACTATGTTTGCAAAGGTTTTCTTTTTCTAGTACTAAGATAAAATGGAGAATGTGGAAGCACAAATGGTGACATGGCAGTAGTTTATTTGTGAGGAATTTTATTTTGTTGTGGTGGTGTGAAAGTTTAAAGTGATCTTTAAAATAAAGATTTAATCTTAGAATACAAATGAAGTCAGCATTTTTGGCAGGAAGCTCAAATTAAAAAGAGGGGAGGATATTGATGGTAGTAATTACTATTCAGTACTGAATTCCTTAGAAAGGTCAAACACTGGAATGTCTCCCAGGCCAGGCAGGGCATGCCGCTCTGGTGAACAGTGTGTGTGTGTGGGGGGGGGTGTTTGCAGACAGGTAGGAGCAGCTGCTGCTCAGCACTGGCCAACTGTTGTCATGGGGAATGCGGACCTTTGCTGCCAGAACTTCACATATTTTTAAAGCAAAGCCAGAATTCCAGAATTTTATGTGAAATCACCCAAGTCTACAAGTTGGCAACTGATTAGATTTTTTAAAACACTGCTAGGGCCAAACAAATCACATCTGTGGGCCAGACTCAGCTCACGGGCCTCTGATATGTGCCCTGTGTAGCTGGGCTTTCTGTTAAAGCACATGTGTCATCAGTAGGAAAAGGGGGCATGTGTGTTTCCATTGCAGACTGGTGGGAGATGGCAGAAGAGCAGGATGAGAAAGTCGCCAGAGTCTGTCCAGTTCGGTTTCCTGTCAAGCCTGTTTCATCATTTGAGCAACTGCCCTAGTCTGACCTCATTCCTTCCCTTCTTACTGCTACTGCCTCAGAAGGGACTGACCAAAGGTCCCGTGTTCTCGGTGGAAGGGGAGCACAAGAAAGAGAGGGAGACACTGTGGTGACCAGGGGGACAACTGCAGACGCATCCTTGACTCTAAAGGAGCAGTTGGAAATGTAGCCAACATTGGCGAACCACTAAGATTTCTCCATGCTGTCAGTGACAGCATAAACCAGATCAAAGGAATTGCACTGTAGACTGAATAAGAACCTCTTAAAGGAGGAGGCTGTGTTATGGAGGCCTGTTTGAAAGTAAAGTTCAGATGCTGTGGGCATTTGGTCTGAGGCTGAGTCATCCAGCCCATATAGGGAGAAGCAGTAACTCGTGGCTTCTGGCCTGCAGAATAAAGAAAATCACTGCCTTCCTCCCAGTGCAAATTCAAAGATACTCTTCTTTGATGCCATGATGTGTTCTGCCCGCTGGCTGTATCTCATTAGAGTGTCTACACTCACGCAGATGCTGCCCTCTGTATTGTCACAATGTCTCACAAAGGAAATTATTGAAGATCTACTTAGTCCTCAGCTGTGATGTATTTTTCTCATTCGTTTCCCCATATTTCCATGGTCTTGCTTGTTCTAGATGCTTTGCTTTTTCATTTTGAGCTGTTCCTTGTCATAAGCTACACAAATGGTATAATTACAATAAACAGAAAAACAAATCATGTCTAAACCCATCACCTCATTTACTTTTCCATTTCTCCTCCTTTTCCCACATGCATATATCGTTTTCATATAGTCTTAAATACAGTGGGAGAGTCCACCCCAGCAAGGAGTGGGATGCTGCTGCTTGTTGTTTATATTTTCTGTACCACATTCCAATGCCAAGCATCATCTTTGTAGTGTCCACCAAAGCCATGGGAATAGGGTTTGTAGATCAGCAGTTCATCATGGAGAACAGATCGAGTGGGAAGAAACTGGACTGGAGCAAAGTCTATTAGCTGATGAGCTGAAATCCAAAGTCTGGATTACCTCAGAATCTGAAGTAGAAGAGAAGGTTATTTTGAGTATTTTGCAAGTATGAGCTGTGTTTTTCTCTGAAAGACTGTGAAGACTAGAGGGCAAGTACTATACTTATATACCAACAAATTTGCTTGAGAATCTACTTTAAGATTTCTGTCAGTAATATCTGGTTTTAAATAGTTTATATAAATACAAACTGATTTTCTTTACCTTTTAAAACCTTCTGTGATGAGAAACTACATTGAAGATATCAATATGTAATACAATAAGCGTTGTTAATTCCCTACCACTCTGTTTGTAACTCTGTAATGTCTGTACTGATCCTATGCTATTTTGTAAAATGTTGTCGGTCTGTTAGTATTTTCCTCCTTTAATTTCTAAAATAAAAAAAATTAAAAAAATTTTAAAAATTAAAAAATAAAACCTTCTGTGATTTCAGAAGAATTTTATCCACTTACTGTAAATGGATAGCCTTATTTGAGCATGGAAGTAGCCTTCTTATCCTCTTTGGTTGGGCTCTTCTATAAGACTATGGCAAAATGATACAAATATGTGGGAAGGAAAGGAGAGGAAACATGAAAATTAAATAGGTGGTGGGTTTGATTTTTTTTGTTGTTTATCATAATTATACCATTTGCATGACTTTCAAAAGGAAGAGCCAAAATCAGTGAATTTGGTATTTCTTTTTAAAGATAGGCCTTTTCACGCTCTAGATCTTCTATTGGGAAGCCCCTTTTCATCAGCCTCGATGTACTTTCAAGTAATGTCTCCTTACTACTCAGAAAAGCACACCTTGATTAGAGAACAGACAGAGGGCAACATACATCATTTCAGATACTCAGGTCTGAGTACATGAGGCAGTTTTTATAATAAGGAAGACAAGTTTCAGGAAATGGATCATCCTTTCAGTATCTGAGAGTTGGTGTGGCAAAAGAGAGCTGCACACTAAAGCACAGCCAGGAGATCTGTATTTCTGTTATTGACATCTGTAGGTGCCACTGCCACCACCAATGATGATGATAAGTGATGAGGAACGGGGTGCGAGGTGATATGTCTCATGTTGACAGGCTTAAGCAATGGCCATGGGAGCCCGGAAGCAAGTACTGATTGAGGACATCTGGCACCTGTGTCAGGTTGCTGTGGCAGTCAGGCAAAGCTGTTTAAGCAAAGGGCATTGCAGTAATTCTATAGTCTAAATCTAGACTTAGTCTCTCTCTCTCTGTGTCTCTCTGTCTCTCTGTCTCTCTCTTTCTCTCTCTCTCTCTCTCTCTCGTTGAACAGGAGGTTGTGGTTGCAGTATAAATTCTAAAATATTTATAACTTTTAACTAGTTGATATCTGTCTCATATGGTTACTGTGGAGATGTATATGGTTCATGGTTCCAAGCACGACATCCAAGGTTGTGACAACCAGAAATAGTCCAGTATGGGTTTCCTGAGATTTTTAGGCTGGCTCCCTTTTCCTGAACCCCATGCTTTCACCTAGGGTGGGATGAGAAGTGAGTGTGGGCTGAAATGAATCCTAATGTTGATCCACGGGGAAAATTCTAGCCGAGTTTCTGTTCCAACAAAAGCAAGCACAAGTAAAGCTCATAGGTGCTAAGTGCAGAGCCTGGAAGATTGTGCCACTGCTCTGGGAAGCCCGGCTGGGGCCCTTTGGAGAGAAGAATTGAGCCCCAAGACCACAGTGAGCACCCAGTTACCTTCCACGTTTTATTTAAATACATGTGATATTCTTAGTTATAAACAACTTTTTGCCTTTTTTTCTGCTTCTGTCTTATCCAGGAAATTATAAATATTTAACCTTACTCAAAATGTGCAAAGCAGAATAATGGAAGCCCCTGAATACCTTGATTTGGATGAAATTGACTTCAGCGATGATATATCTGTAAGTATTACAAGTATTACTACTTGTAGGCAGTGTTTTCGGAATGTTCTGCCTTCAACTTCATGGGCTAGTTTCTCTATTACAGTTTTTTGTTATTTTAAAGAAAAAACAATAAAAGCAATTATGCACAATTTTAAAACAAGATACCAGGAAATTAACAATGGTTAACATATTGCATATTGTTATCTTCAAAGTAGTTGTGCAGATTGCGAGATACAGGCATGCAAGATTGATCAACTATTATAGTCTTTATATGCACAACTCTTCCAACTATATTTAGGAATTGAAAGCAGAAATCGTGTGTGGCTCATAAAGTGTGCATTGGGAGGGTCTCAGGACCAAAAAGTGAGTCCTACCTATTGTGTGTGAGATTGGGAGGGTAATCTCAACAATCTCAGTGAGCCTCCAATTCCTGATCTGTTCCAGTGCAGTCAGAATTATTGATGGATATGTCTGGAAACTGTCTGTATTTGCACGTAATTAACCCTATGAATGTTAACTCCCAGTTTCTTTACATGGCTAGATATTTCACAGCCAGCATTCTCAAGTTCACAAGGACACAGACAGAAACCAAATTGAAATTTATTAATTAATGAAAATGAGGAGAGTTCTCCAGTCACTAAGTATCAGAACACAGAGTGGACATCTGTTGGAATACTGAGGAGGGGTAATGTACTGGTCCAGCTTACCCCATGGTGTCCTGCTTAAGCCTGTGATGCCACAGGCTCCTGAGTCTCCAAGTGCCTGTAACAGTCACAGGCTCTGTGCTGCTTCCAGGTTCACTTGGGAGTTCTGAGTGAATTGTCTGTAGAACTTTGCTTTATCCTGGACCACACAGTCAGAGCCACCTCATCTGCAAACATGTTGTCCTCTAGTGCCGCAGAAACTACAGGCTCATAGAGTGTGGTAAGAAAGCTGCTGATTCTGAGTAGCTATATAGCTTTTCTTCCCAGAGGCTCACAGTTTCTGACCTTATCTTCTGGTGATCTGACCTGGCCTAGAACTTTGGGTCAGCACTAGAATGGTCCTGAAACATGCCTCTGGCAGCAGTTTCATTCCTCTGCTTTACCCTTACCTTCAAGTAAAATATGCATAGTGTATACAAGAATTAGATTACTGGGATAATTTGTATGAATCACCTGTTTTATACAATCTTGGATAGCTCTCGCTTCGTAGAGGAGAAATGGGAATGCAACCTTTCCTTATTTCCAGACATTTTTTTCAGTTTTTAAAAATAAATTTTATGTTATATACTTGATATTGTAGGATATATTTGCATAGATTTAGCTTAATGAAGCAAATTAACATACCCATCATCTCACATAGTTATCCTTTTAAAAAGAAATTCAGCCCAAATCCAAACACTGGACAATTTTATTAGGTGTAACCCTGTGTTGTACATTAGCTCTCTAGAATTGTTCATTTTACATATCTATTACTTTGTATCTTCTGACTTACATTTCCTTTTTATTTTTTTTTTAGTGTCTTTATTTTATTCATGACTGGCAAATGAACTTCTTCCTCACCATAGTGTCTTTGTCTCTCAGCCACTGTGCCTGACTTGAGAGTGCTCAGACTGTGGCTCATTTACAGGGTATTTTGATTTGAGCAGGAGGGAAGCAAAGAGAGTGAAGGGTAGTGGGTGGAGGAGGACAAAAGGTGTAATAGAAAAGGAAACTTGTGTTATGGTTAGGAGTTACATGGCAGCTCTCCATGTTTGATAATAAAGTTGTCTTTTGAAAGCACCAGCTTTGAAAGCAGCCAGGTTCCTACCTTGTTCTGGCCTTCGCTGGCTGGGTAATTGGGTGGGATACACAACTGCATCTCTTGGAGACACTCACCCAACTTGTAAGATTGTCTTGAGCACTGGGTGAAGTAATAATATATGTGAAACACTTAGCTTAGCACACTGTGAGTTACTCTTAAAAATGGTAGCTTTTGTTGTTATTTCAGTAAATAATACAATAATATTTATATGACCAATGGAGAAAAAAGAACTCAAGGGAAAAGACTAGGCATGATGTCAAGATTTTTTTTAGTACAACAGAGCAGTTGTATTTACAGAAGAATCATCTGGCAGGAGCCCATAATTTTGATGAATTAGGAAGCTCTACTTGAAGGATAAAATATGTTAAGCAATAACTGAAGCTATTTAACAAGTTAGACTATAGATTATACAATAGTTGAGCTTCTATAACTTGACCACTCTGAAACATAAAGATGTCCATCTATAATAGTGTACTGTACCCAAACTTCCTTCCTTTAAATATGTTGTGATTTGATATTTAAACTGCACTTAAATTTAAATCTGATTTGAAAGCGCATAGAATTTATGAAACAATAATAATGGTCAATATTTGTTGAGCACTACTGTGGAACAGGCATTATCTAGTCTAATCCTCACAGCAGTCCTATGTAGATGGTACAGTTGCCTTCTCCCACATGTCACCACGAGAACATTTGGTGGTACTTGGAGATGTTTTTCATTGTCATACTGAGAGGTGCTACAGACAATCAGTGGATGCAGGCCAGGTGTTAGTGACACTTTGCATGGCGCCAGTTATCAGAGTCGCCTGCAGTGAGTCCCCAGTCTCTTGCCCAGGTTACATCAGCGCATCGCAGGAAAGAAAGAACAAGAGACAGAAATGGCGGGTGCATAGCAGGGATCTAGGATGACCAGTGGTTCTGGGGAACAAAAGGCCTCAAAGCACCCAGACTCTTGGTGTTTATTCATTACACCTGCATCAAGAACAATGGGTGAAGGGCAGTGAGTATTTCTGGGAACAGTAATGGCGACTACTGTGGGCTAGGAAGATCAAAACATTCTTGGAAGGACAAGGACAAGACACAGGGGCAATGAGGCAACGATAGTTTCCCTGGCGGCTTAGCCTGTTTAATAAGTCTTTCCTTGCCCTGTGAGTACCGCAGCAGTCATTACCCCTAGGGCTTCCAGCTGTGCCCGGAAAAGAGCAGGGAGTTTATGTGTTACAATCTGGCCCAAAAAGGCAGGACAAGAAAAAGCTTGGATATCCCCTAGACTCAATTTAGAATTCATAGCCCCCAGCATCCAGGGGTGCTTCTGAACATCCAACAACACACAGGGCAGTCTCCTACAGTAATCATCTGGCCTAAAACTTAATAGTACCAAGGCTGAGAACCCTGGTCTATTCTAACCTCCTTGAAACTGAGGAAGCTCTACTTTGACTTCAGACTCTAAGCATAAAAGATTTTATCAGCATTCTGTGTTATCCAAGTTGAATACTTTAAATATTGGTTGCTGCTAGTTTACTTAAATAAGTTGAGAGCAGTCATTTCAATATTCCAGAGGTAATCTCCACTTTTTTTTTTCTCCACAAACTCTTTAAGTTACACCAATGGAAATAACCTGTGGAATATTGAAATGATTGCTCTCAACTTATTTAAGTAAACTAGGAGCAACAAATATTATAACTGCTTTATGGGGTAAATGGAGGTTATTCAAATGCTAAAACTGAAAAATGAACTTGTTTTCATTATGCTAACTCACTGGCATAAAAAGAAATTTAGTTTGTTTCCCATAAACATGCTTTTATATTTTGGATTCTGTAAACCTTCATCTCTGACAGCCCTTCCGACTCTTTCCTGGTTAAGTGGCTGAGAGGGAAGGAAGGTGCACTTTACATTTGGAAAAGATGTTTACAAAAATCATGCTAGAGTCCAAAACCCTTCTTACTCTCCAGCTGTAGCCCTATTACGTAGGATAGGCTTTGTATTTCATGGGTTTTCCCTCTAGTCATGAGCCTGGTTCTTGTTTTAATTAAAACACAAACTATATATTGGTGTAAAAAAATAGAACTTTTTGACTTCACCCAATGAGACAAAACACAGAAGGCAACCAAATTATTTTGAAGTTTTCCAGACTCAAAAATAATGTGCATCCTTTGCAAAAAGCAGAGTATAAACTTCTTGTAACCTTGCCATCAAAAAAGGCAAAACATTGTGCAGCAACTGCAGGTTTGTGAGAGAGAGGATGACACACATAAACACAGAGGTTCAAAATAGGCTTTTCTGTCACTTCAGATGGGTTTCCAAATTTCTTTATTCCTATGAGAACCAGATCCCTCTATTGTTTTTTTCCCTCTATTGTTAAAACAAAAACCTCTGGCATTCCTGGAAGACAGACTCTTTGTCTTCTATTTCTCAGATGAGAAAAGTAAGGCTTGCAGGGGGTGTATGACTTCCACAAAATTATTGATAGGTGAGTGACAGGGTCAGGACTTAAATACCAAACTGTTTGACCACATTGCTCTTTCCCTTATGAGCAACTTAGTTAAGTAGAAATATCTCTGGACCAGTCTCTTCACCCATCATTCTCCCCATTTGGCACTGAAGTGATTACAGATTATTTCTTGGCAGTAAAAAAGTTGGTATACATTATAAATAAATAAAATAAAGGCAGGTGAAGGGAAATTAAGCAAATCTCTTAGTTTTTCTGTATCTCAAATTTTTTTTCTGCAAGATGCTAATCATCTTTACTTACTGTTTTGGATTTTTAATGAGGAAAACATGAAAATTTACGTATGTGTGTTATATAAACATATACATATATGTAAATACCCACATATGCATACAGATATACACATAGTACACACATCATGCATGTAAATACTTTCACACAAACAGAAATGGGTGAAGCACTCTGTCCTCTGTGTGGGAATCATGTTGCTTTTCTATATTAGTCTGATGTACAACTGTGGTGAAATTTGGTATTTTTTGGCAGTTGCATAACTTATTTTTTGTGCAGACCAAATGTGATCAAGATAAATAAGTGTCCTTCATCTTACTATCCTCTTTAGTCCAACTCTTTGCAACCTAAAATAATCACATGAAGTTATGTGGATTCATTTTCCTGAGGTGCTTGAACTACCATATTACCTGGTGGAAAAATAAATTCTTACGGCAAACTAACCTCACCTTTAATGAGTTTTCAGGTCCTCAAATGAAAAAGATTCCTTGCAGAA